CAGCTGAACATGGCCCATCACCCACTGTGACAGCTGAACACAGCCCACCACCCACTGTGACAACTGAACACAGCCCACCACCCACTGTGACAGCTGAACATGGCCCATCACCCATTGTGACAGCTAAACATGGCCCATCACCCACTGTGATAGCTAAACATGGCCCATCACCCACTGTGATAGTAAACATGGCCCACCTTCCACTGTGATAGCTAAACATGGCCCACCACCCACTGTGACAGCTGAACATGGCCCACCACCCACTGTGATAGCTAAACATGGCCTACCACCCACTGTGATAACTGAACATGTCCCACCACCCACTGTAACAGCTGAACACGGCCCACCACCCACTGTGACAGCTGAACACGGCTCACCACCCACTGTGATAGCTAAACATGGCTCACACACTGTGACAGCTGAACATGGCCCACCACCCACTGTGACAGCTGAACATGGCCCACCACCCACTGTGACAGCTGAACACGTCTCACCACCCACTGTGACAGCTGAACATGGCCCACCACCCACTGTGACAGCTGAACACGGTCAACCACCCACTGTGACAGCTGAACACGGCCAACCACCCACTGTGACAGCTGAACATGGCCCACCACCCACTGTGACAGCTGAACATGGCCTACCACCCACTGTGACAGCTGAACACGGCCAACCACCCACTGTGACAGCTGAACACGGCCAACCACCCACTGTGACAGCTGAACATGGCCCACCACCCACTGTGACAGCTGAACATGGCCCACCACCCACTGTGACAGCTGAACACTGCCCACCATCCACTGTGACAGATGAACACTGCCCACCACCCACTGTGACAGCTGAACACGGCCTACCACCCACTGTGACAGCTGAACACGGCCAACCACCCACTGTGACAGCTGAACACTGCCCACCACCCACTGTGACAGCTGAACATGGCCCACAACCCACTGTGACAGCTGAACATGTCCCACAACCCACTGTGACAGCTGAACATGTAACACAACCCACTGTGACAGCTGAACATGGCCCACCACCCACTGTGATAGCTGAACATGGCCCACAACCCACTGTGACAGCTGAACATGGCCCACAACCCACTGTGACAACTGAACATGTCCCACAACCCACTG